AAATGGCCTCCCTACTCTTCTGAAGAGCGTAGTTCGGCGACAACACACTCCTGAACTCGCCTTGGTATCCCGAGCCTGAAGGCCCAGCTCGGGTATAAGCAGACTCAGAGTAAGCGGGAGCCCCCGTGTAAGTAGCCTCGGCATAAGGGGCCCCTACTGCTTCTTGTACTGGAGAGGCCATCTCGGGCTCCCTGGGCGGATCCACTGACGGATAGTCTGGTACCTCGGGCTCCGCATCCCGGGGCAGCTCGGCACGAGTTCGCTTGGTGACTCGCTTCCTCCTCTTCATGGCGTGAAACAGATTCCCACAACGAGTCTTCTCTGAGTCCATCACACCTGCAAAAACAGCTCAGCATCAGGAAAACGAAAGAACAAAGCAAAACAAAAGGTAAGCCTCTGAGTAAGAAACCTACCCGAACTCAGACCGGCCTCAATGAGCTTGGCCTCCGTCAGATAATGGTGGCATTTTAGCCCAAGTCGTGCCCATTCCCGAAGGCCCTTCGCCGTCTCCTTATCAAGCGTAACACCGGCATCAGGGGCAGCCATCCCCCACCTGGTTTGGAACGGCCACCCCAATGCACTTCGCACCCCGAAGTAGTCCCGTTTCCACGCCGGGACCTTGTTGGGAAGATCGTGCAAAAGCTTAAAACTCGGGCGAGGAGACAGGTAATACGCCCGCCTACGCCCAGGAACGGAACCCGCTTGCTTCTTAAGCATCAGAATGGAAGAAAAAATCTCCAAGTCTAAGGGCAAGATCTGTTCGCAAAATAGGGAGATTGTCCCCACCAAGTTACGAATAGAATTCGGGTGAAGCTGGCCGAGAGTAACGCCAAAGTGGTTCATGACCTCGACAATGAGGGGGTGGAAAGGAAGGCGCAACCCAGCAGTGAGCTGCTCCCGGAATATCACGATCTCATCAGGACCGTGTTCCCAAGGGAAACTGCCCGAGGGTATAAAATAGGTGTACTCCCTAGGCAAGTTAAACTGGGTAATGAGGGAGTGAAGCCCCTCAGGCGTCATGGCCGAGGGCCCAAACTTGTCTAACGTCCGACCTCGACGAGAGGAGGATGCCAAACTACCCGAGGCGACTCGGCCTATGGGTTCGAACTCTTCCTCGAGCTCTACTTCAGGTTCGCTAGGACTGTCAGGGGATGCAACTCGGTTCGTAGAACCTGCATCTAACCCCTTTGAAGAACTGTCTGAGCTATCCGAGCTAGACATCGGGAGGAGAAGATGGATTCTAGGAAAGTACTCACCCGGAGAAAGGCTTCAACGGACTACGGGAACTTGAACGCGAGCTAAAGGCTTGAATGCGAGCTAAAGGCTTGGACGCGAGCTCAAGGAGCAAAACGTAGGAGTGACAAAGCGACTGGGGTCCCCCACTATTTATACCCACAGTAGTCAAAAATCAACAGTTTTGATCAAAGAAAATCCAACGGCCCGCAGTCACGCCGACCGCACGTTTCCTGAGACCGAGACGTAACTGGCCGCATGTCTCCTGAGACCGAGACGTGACTGGCTGCACGTCTTTTGAAACTGAAAGAGCGCCAGCACACGTCGCCTCGCATTTAAGGCGGCAGCGACACGTTTTTTCAAATTTGAAAAGATGCCCGTTGTCACGTCTCCCAGCGGCGCGCTTTTTAAATTTTGAAATAAGCGCGCGCTGTCACGTCTGTCAACATTTATAGACGGATTGGCACGTTTTCCCAACTTTTTGGCGTTCAAAAAACCCGGAAGAATCCTGACGGACGCACACTTCGCGCTATCAGTCAACCAATTCGAAGTACGGGACAAATCCACCCGCCGCCTCGCGAACTCCCGGCACCAGGGCAAGTCCCTTTGCGCGAGGAGTGGGGGGCAATTGATGAAGAAAGATTTGGCCCGACCTCGTAACCACTCAACACGTGGCAAAGGCAACAGCTCGGCACAACAGCACGCCCAAGGCGCGAGCTCCGAAAGGAGGAACCAGCGGTCCGAACTCCCTACAAGGAGCCTGAACTCCTCGTAAGGAACCCGAGCTCTCCCTTAGACCTCGAGCCTTACCAACACAAAGGACAACAACCCGAACTGGCCTACCCCATGGCAGTTCGGGCCACACCTCTATCCGAACTCAAGACTTAACCTCGCACACCACTCCAGCACTTCGCCTCCAGGATGCCGAACTAAACAAACTGCACCGTACCTGACACCAAAAGAGTCCGTATCCAGGGGCGGCGCACCTAACTGACTTGGGATCTGACGCTTGACAGCCGCACTTCAACGGCCACCTGCCACTGCCACCTACCACCGCCATCTCCAGTTACAGAGACGGCTCCAACAAAGAGAGCAGTGGCGGTTCTGCCCTAGCAGAGGTGATCATACCCGAATTGACAGAAGCTTAGGAGTGAGTGCGTGAAGTGGTTATAAAAGACTCTCTACCCCCCAAGAACAAGGTAGGTGAACTTTGCGCCATCTGGTTTTATTTTGCCTTTGAGAAAATACTAACTTGAGCTTCGGAGCATACTCACCGGGTCCTTCCTCGGGATTACTCTCTTTCCCCTTCGTTTCAGGCACCTTCTGCTCCAGCCCAAGGCAAGATCTTTGACAGCTAGAACCTGCCGGATTGCGCACCATCACATACTATTAAAAGTATAAAAATAAAGGTCTATCCAAATATAATGGAATGCTAATGAAGGAATTTTGTGCAATGTAAAAGTTAATAAGGTCTTTATCTCAAATGTAAGTATAAGGGGTATTTATCGCTGACCCCATGGTACAATGTGGTTTTTTGTAACTTACCCCTCAATATAATATCTTTCCCGCCACATATTTGAAGATAAAAGAACCACCTAACCCAAATGCTTAGCTAGTTTGCAATAGCCTCAAGCCGCCATCAACAAATAAATACTCTCTAACTTCAAAACAAGGTACACCCCCAGTGCACAATAGTAATACCTGCCACACCATTGAGAAGTACCGATCAGCCCAGAATTTACTAGCCACGAAGTACAGGGGGAATGCATCCTGACCGTGAATTTATACCAAATTCACGGGCAGGATGTGGTTTATAGGGGAAGAGGGCTAGTGTAGGGGGTGGCTGGAATTCAGAATTCTGCATCATGTGTATTCGTACTTTCCCCTTTTTATATAGGGTTGTATTATACACAAGGAGAATGCAAAGATTTAAACTTATAATATTAATATTTTATTTCAAGGTGATGTTTGGCAACATTGCCAATTTTTCAGGCTCCACGTCAAAGCCAAATTAGCAATTAGCATCTCAAGCATCAATGATGAGAGAGAAAGCCGTTTGGTTGGCCAATTTCAATAATTTCTCAAAAATCATTGGAATTAGGCTTGAATGAGGAATCAGCATTTTCGGTGATTCCCCAATTCTTGGCCGATTCACTTTTTTAAGTATATAGGCATTGATGCTGCAGATATAACACCATGTGTGAGTTGGAAGTAACGTTTTCTAAAAAAACAATATCTTTTTTGTTTGTTTGTTTGTTTGTTTGGAAACGTTGCCGCCAGGTAGAACATTTCTTAGAGCAACAACAACAACACTTTCTGTTTGATACCAATGCTTTATATCTGTTTTCAGCACTGATACCCATTATAAGAAGTCAATGTCACTGTTATATCACATCCTTGTTGGCAGCAAACTCCATTTGAGAAAACGTCAAATTCGACATTACTCCAGACCACACCTCAATTTCGAGAGCATGGCTTAGAACACCATTTTTTATAGAAAAACAATTCCAAACATATTGTCATTTCTTAGAGCACCATTTTTTACGACATGGCATTAATGTGTCACCATTTTCTGGAGCAACAGCATCAATACAAAACAGACGCTAAAGGATGACATGACATCCAACGTGTCAAGTGAAGATTTGGATCCAATGAAAAAAAAAACAAAAAAAAAATCATTGTCAATTTCTCAAAATCGACTTAAATAAAAACCATGGTTCTTCAGGTCAAACTCCACCACCTGTTGATGGCCAGCTAAGATTGAACTTTTGCCAAAATTTGAATGGGCCCAACCCAAAGCTAAAGCCCGAAAGTGTAAAATGTTCATGGACCGAGCCCAAAGCCTGGTATAGAGGAATCGCGGGTGAGTCGGTGCAGGGTCACATGAGGCCCACACCTCCTAATCGAAGGTGGGTACATGTGACCATCTCGACTACTAGGTCATCGGCAGATCCTCTTAATAGCTCTTCGTGCTTTAAGCTTGCAACTTTATGGGTCCAAAATTGACCAAATCAGATAATCCTTGGTATCGAAGATTGTGTATTAAAGAATGTTTTACTGCAACTTCATGATTTAACCCAACCACTTGGTTCGAATACTGGAGCTAAGACGATTTTATTACAGGGAGAAGACACAAAATGTACCAAGGTTTTCAAAATGTTGTTACATTCATTTTCAAACCCTCCTATTTACCAGGTTCAGGTGGTTAATACTCAAACAAGAAATGAGATCACTGGTTAATTCTCAGCTAGCGCAGATCAAATGTAGCTCCCAGCTTTGAGATATAATAAACACAATCACAGCTAAGATTTAGATGAATCATCCAGCATAATATCGGTATCTTCAAATATTCAGAAATCTACATTAACTTTTTCTTGAAAGAACGGTTTCTTTCAACTTTATTCCAGTGTCCGACACATCTATTACTTCCCTACACAAAGGATAACAATAATTTGTTAGAAAAGCCAATTGGAATTTGGAAGCTATTATCCAAAAAAGATGTCCAGATAACCCTCAGATAAGGAAAGACCAGAAATGCACCATAGAGCCAGGGCAACCAAAATGCAAAGACTGCAAAGTTTTGCCAAGGGTGAACCTGACTAACCTAGACTCGTGCTTTTAGATGTTTACATTACGAGATCAACTTGAGGGAGAAAATAGCTGCCCAAAAACAAGGTCATGGAATAATTAATAAAGGAAAAATAGCAATGTCCTTTAGAGACAAGTTGATAAAAGAAGGGAAACAGAACTTAGACGAAAATTTCACATAAAGAAACATAGTGCCAAGGCTCAAAAAGCCTTTTTTTTTACATCAATAACTGATACTGATTTTATTAATTTGTAGAAAAGAATAGCATATAAGTTATGTTTGTACCAAGAACCTCTACAATGTTTCCTCTGCTACCCCAACCTTTCTTCTACCCTTATTCTTACAGTTTACATGTTAGAACTTAGAACTGCCCTACCCAACCCGCACCCCCCATAATTTGGTTCTGTCGGTCCCATTCTAGAGCATCCACCAGGCAGTTGGCGTATCTTCTAGTCCATGAGAAAGTTGTTATTAACTCCCTAGCTATTCCATTGACTCCCTCCTGATGTGTCTGTATGTCCAAGATCTCATTAGCAAAAGGTGGGGCCCTGCTAGTTGGTTTGGCAGAGAATTAGAAATGACAACAATCTTGGAAGGGACAAAAGTTTCAAATAGCTAATATTCCTCACACTAAATCAGCCCTACATAACCCTCTCCTTGCAAGAGCATCAGCCAGATTTTTTTTTCCTGATCTTGAGATCCATCTGAACAAGCTGTTCAGACTAGATCTTAATAACCTTGCTTTTCTTATGCGGTGACTAAGAACGCATGGCCCTGATGCCCTGGCCAACAATACTGAATCACAATCTTGCAAACCCCTTTCATCATTTAAATTCTGATTTGATGAATATACCAGTTTCAGACTCTGCTACAGAGGATAATTATATAAAATATTGCCTTTAAGGATATGCCTGCTACTTATTTACCTCGAAGCCTTAATGCTGTATTTGAATATTTGCATTTAGTGGTTAGATGAGGCAAACTAATCATACTCTAACAAGTAAGCTTAGAGATCTTTTCGTAATTGTTCCATCTTACATGCCAAGAATCTCCAAAATATAAGTGGAAACAGACAATGAGTAGGGTAAACTACTGGTTATGTATGACCAACTATCATGAGAATGACACTGGTGTTTGTGTTTCTTAACATGGGATGTTTTGGACCTTTTGGTAATCATGCCATCTTACATGGCAAGAATCTCCAAAATATATGTGGAAACAGTCAATGATTAGGGTAAAGTACTGGTTATGTATGACCAACTAGTATGAGAATGTCCCTTTTTCCAAATCAATGCTTTATGATGATCCTTGATTTTACAGAAGCATCTCATCCAATGGCAACTGATCCTATATGCAATCATCTTGTATCTACAAGGACAATACCATTGTCACTCTCACCAACAAAATCCAGGACACTATCTTATTATATACTAGGTATGCTTTGCAACACATACTTTGTCATATGGGAAAGGATATGCTAGAGCATTCCCAAAAAGTGATGTTGGCTATGGCATTAAACAGAATGGAATAACAAAAGTGGATTAATGTAGCTGACCGCATATGGTTGGGGATAAGGCTTAGATAATGTTGACGATGATGATAAGCAACATATGCTTTGCACACATATTTACACCCATAAAGTCATAAACAATAACCACAAAAAGGTAAATTATGTGGATGCATTGCCATTTAAGAAATGTCCCTGACTGAAGCATATACTTTGACTGAGGCTTAATAAGGACTTAAAACAGATTCCCTGTGCTATCCATCCATGTTATTCCAACTTCCAAAGGTGTCAACAGCTTAGAAGCACCAGATGTACCGCAGATGTCTGGTATGGAAACCCATGGCATACTAAGCTTGAGAAGCATGTAGAATAGATTTTGAAGAAATTCCAATCAGGAGATCAAAAAAGTTGTCAAAATCTTATAATTTACAATATGATTCACAATTCAAATCACAAACCCTCTAGGATCTTTAACTCAAATCATTGAATCCTTCCCTGAAAACCTTTATGGACTATTTCTCAAACTTTAGGATAATTGCATTTAATGTGATTATTGACATTGTGTTGTTTTAAGAACTTTACTAGTTTGGATTATTTAAGACCAATTTCAAGATCATTTTGGGTTTGTTTTCTCCATCATGTGTGTATTGAAGGAAAAAGCATTATAGGTGAATTAATAGGTTTTGGAATAAAAATTGGTTATATCAACTACTGCTTCTAGTGTATGATTGATAAACTTGGTGGTAGGTTGGACCTAAATGATGGGTATGAACTGAAAATGGGATAAAATCATTTTCTGTTGGTTTAAGTTTTTAGTTATATATTTTCAATTTTTTGGAAGTTTCTGAAAAAAAAAAAGTAGAAATGATCTTAGAATTTATTATAAGATTAACGATTCAATTCAACCTTCTCTACTACTTGGGATAGGATGAAGGTTTTCAGGTCCATGGCATTTTCCAAGAAGAGGAATAACCTCTAAATAGCTCACAGGCCAATTGCAAATATTGGCAACATACTATCCATCACCCAGGCATGTTTTGGACCATTTTCACTCCACTCTTTCCCTGGTGGTCCAAGGAATTGTGATAGAACAGAGAGGTTTCAATCACAAACCATTTCAGCTTATGGCTTACATCCAAGACAAACCATATAATATGCTATTACCTGTATGTACCACTAACACCCATGCAAGGAAATGTAGACTGGTTCAGTTATTCAACCTATCCAGTGAGGAAAATGAGAGCTAGTTGTCTTGTTAATGCAAAATGCAATATGTCCAAAACCAACCTCAGTGAATAATTCAAGCCGCAGCAGCTTCCAGCAACTCCCTTTCTGCACGCTCCCGGATCCTCCTTTCCAGTTCTGGTCTGAAATGTCTGATAAGACCCTGCACAGGCCAAGCAGCAGCATCACCCAATGCACAGATAGTGTGTCCCTCAATCTGCTTTGTGATCTCTTGAAGCATGTCTATTTCCTCCAGCTTTGCATTCCCAACTTTCAGCCTCTCCATGATCATCCACAGCCATCCTGTTCCCTCCCTGCAGGGTGTGCACTGCCCACAGCTTTCGTGCTTGTAGAAGTAAGAGAGCCGAGCAATTGCATTCACAACATCAGTTGACTTGTCCATCACGATAACAGCAGCTGTCCCTAAACCTGATTGAACAGCCTTGAGTGCATCATAATCCATCAATACATCATCACATATGTGCTTAGGAATCAATGGAACAGAAGAACCCCCTGGTATCACTGCAAGCAGATTGTCCCATCCACCTCTAACCCCTCCACAGTGCCTCTCTATCAATTCTTTCAATGGAATGCTCATCTCCTCTTCAACAGTACAAGGCTTATTCACATGACCTGAGATACAGAATAGCTTTGTCCCAGAATTGTTCTTCCTACCAAAACTAGCAAACCATTCAGGTCCCCGCCTCAAAATGGTTGGAGAAACAGCCACAGTTTCCACATTTGTAACCGTTGTTGGACAACCATATAGCCCTGCATTAGCTGGGAAAGGAGGTTTCAACCTCGGCTTCCCTTGTTTTCCTTCAAGGCTCTCCAACAATGCTGTCTCTTCACCACAAATGTAAGCCCCAGCTCCATAGTGGATATAAACATCAAAATCATAGCCAGACCCACATGCATTCTTTCCCAACAATCCAGCTTGATAAGCTTCTTTCCTTGCTTTCTCAAGGTTTTTACGCTCATTTACATATTCTCCCCTTATATAGATATAAGCAGCAGTAGCCCGCATACCTACACCCGCAATCAGGCAACCTTCAAGTAATTTATGTGGGTCATGGCGCATTATTTCCCTGTCCTTGCATGTTCCTGGTTCACTCTCATCAGCATTCACAACAAGATAAGAAGGGCGGCCATCAGACACCTTCGGCATGAAAGACCACTTGAGGCCAGATGGAAAACCGGCTCCACCACGGCCACGGAGACCAGATTTCTTCATCTCATTTACAATCCAATCGGAGCCCTTAAGCACCAAATCTTTGGTTCTGTACCAGTCACCTCGCTTCATAGCACCCTTCAGGAATGGGTCATGCAACCCATAGAGGTTTGTGAAGATGCGGTCCTCATCTTTCAGGCCGCCGAAATGGGTTTTCTCAGGAGGTGGGGGTGGAGGTGGAGGTTGTGGAGTGCTTGAGGTAGTTGCAAATTGAGTACTGAATGATCTGCAGATTGAGTCCCACTTCTCACTGGAGCGACGGACTAGAGCCACCCTAGGAAGGGAGAGAATGCTCTTGAAGGGAGCCTGCAAAAAATTGGACAGTGGACATCCAGGGTAGAGGGAAAATTCCATATCAGTTAAATTTTGGTTATTCGCCATTGAGGTTAAAAGGAAGATAATGCCCCTTAATTCCAACTATTTAGGATCAGTTATATGAATCCTGTCTCGCCATTGTGCTCTATGAAGAGACATGTTTTCTGTCAAATTGTAGTCACCCATAAATATAATGATGTTATAATCAACATAATAAATAATGAGGAAGACCCTTGAATGGAAACCAATGACCTAATCAATAGATACTCAAAAAAACATCATCTAAAGAAAGCAATACTCAAAATGCTATAATTCTGAGAGTGGATAACTTTTGCCTCCTTTTGGGATTGAGAGATCTGTTTCAATGTCAAGAGCATAAATAAGAAAAAGCAGTCAATTTTTCCAGAGCATACATTATGCCCCAAATCAGATCAATGACAACTAATCCAAAGGTGATGTTGCCATGCTAGCGGTGGTTCATATTGTTTTTGTTCAGGTTTGTGGAAAGAATATAGTTGTTTAGCATTAATTTCAGGTGTTTGCAGTTCCTGAAGATCAGATGTGATAGAGGCAACTTGATCTTGGATTTGGTTGCAAAGAAAGGGGAAAAAACATGCAAATGCAATGAATATCTTTATCTTGTCTTCCCTCCTCTCCTTTCTTTTGTTTGGTTATGAGACCTGAAGTTATGAATACTTCTTTATGTATGATCACAATGAGGAAAGGTGATGAGGAGTCGAGGAGACTCAAATTGATAGACAAAAAGCTCAGTGTATTTCACCTTGCAAATAAGTTTCAGTTCCATTAATGAGAAGCTTTATTATAAAATTCTTCCTTCTTCCATTTCCCAAACTATGAAAGAAAAATCTGAACTCCCACTCCTCCCTTTGGTGCACAAGCAGATGACATTTTTTCATTTTTTTCTTCAGTTTATTTCTTCCCTGAAGTCGCCTCATACTCAAACTTTTAAGTCCTTCTACTGGACAATTTATCTGCAGAAAGATCTCCTTCTCTCTCCATGCCATCAAATTGTCAATGTGATCCTGAAAATGCAATATCTTTTCTCTTCAACATTTCAAAGACCTAACAACTCTAAATCATGATGTTATTTTTTATGTACTTATTTTTATCATGAATCTGAAACCTGCCCATCCTTCCACTTGCTCTTGTCCCCATGAAAATCATACATTTTCACAAAACAGGGGGGGGGGGAGGGGAGGTAATTGTATACTGTCATGTCACTTTGGCCCTTCAAAAGCATGTAGAATGATCTGATACCTATTTTACCCTTTAATTAAATGTTGAAATCAATTTTAGTTTTGACCAATCTGATTGAAAGGAATAAACACACAATTCAGGATTCATGTTCATCAGTGTTAGACAAAAATTTTAACGATGCATATGGCACTGAAAAAAGTGGAATAGCAGAACAGGATAGGAGCCACTAATATGAGCTCACTAACGGCTGAAACTGAAGTTGGGTTGATTACCATATACTTGATTATTTTATTATTTAATTGTTTTCTTCACTAAAAGACAAATTAGTAAGTCATTCAGTTCAGCCACTTCAGTGATGATCAAATGACCCTTTGGTTTAGTTTTGTTGATTGCAGGGATAAACTGCATATTGAAGTGAATGAACAGGCTTACTTTTGTACAGTCAGTCAGTCAATTATTTATCTATTTGGTTTAACTTTAAAGGAAAATGTCCTTTACTTGGTTGCTTAGGCTTAGTTTGGAAGGAGTACAAATACAAATATGTAGGGTGCAAAGCCTTGTATTTTGTGTTATTTTGTATGTATTTGTACTCTTTCCAAACTGAGCCTTAGTTGAGAAATGCTTTATACCTTGTCACATCTACAAATAGAGATGAGACAGCTACCTGCCTACATTACAAGAAGGTATGTATTCCTTCAATGAATTGATGGAAGTGAAGCAGCTTTACCACTACAGATGCAAAACCATGTCCCTTCGATGAATGCATAGACAGTATACACACTTAGAAGGTTCTGATAATCTGTTCCACAAAGCATTCCTAGACATATCTAGTTAACATTTAGAGTATCTCCTTATTAGTTATGCTCCAAGCTGACTTTCTAGATCACTGCTACAATCTAAGCATTATATGCACATTTACATAATTAGATTATTATGAGGATCAGGGTAAGCTTGAAAGCTTCTAAGAATGAAGAAAGGCATCTAGATAATGGGGATTGTGATTTGAATAATTGAATGAAGATGAATTAATGCAGTGAGACCTAAGCAAAAAAGGCCAGTGCCTCAGTGGTAATGTCCTATGACCGCGAAAAAAATTGGAAACATCCACCTAAGGCTCACTTTGGTAACTGTACAAATACAAATATGTACGGTGAAAAACCTTGTATTTGTACTACGGTACATATTTCAAAACCTTCTCAAACTGAGCCTAAGGAAATTGGAAGGCCGCAGCTGTTAAAGTCAAAAGAGGGAAGAAAAAAGAAAAGAAAAGAAAACACCGATATCCATCTGAAATAATCTCCTGCATATAATTCACATAGAAATTCTGTTTTTATTTGTGCTAGGTCAGCGATCAATTGTTATTGCAAAACAAGACAATTCCTTAACCCGAATTTTTTATCTGATGGTTATCCCTAAAGCAGATCCATCAGAAATGCAACACGCCCACGAGCATTCAAAATATATTTCGAGAAATAAATCAAGTCATAGTAACAATGGAACCCTAGGGATATTGAAGAAAAAGATAAAATCAGATGATGCAGAGCAATAGCAGATTTGCGTACCATGAAGCGTCAAAGAGGAGTGACGACCTTCGCAAATAAATTTTCCGAAAATCAAGCGTTTGGAAGAGCTCTAGTGAGCGTCCTACAGATCAAGAATGGCTAAAGAAAGAGAAAATGACTGAATGCCAGAACGAAACAACAGCTCCCAACGTCCGGGGCATCTACGGCTACGAGGGCATAGTTTTTGGTTGAGCTCGCGTGCTTTGTTACAATCGAATTACCTTTCTGTCCCTGTAAACAACAAAAATGCTTCTGATAAAAAAGAGTATGTCTTACCCAAAAAGGAACAACAAGAGTATGCAACTCTTATGTGCTTCGCCCTTTTCGGACTTGGTCTTTGAATAATGCAATCCCTCTTTAGTTACCGGACTCTTAATTTTATTGGTTTTCCGAATAATATCTATCACTGTTTACTACAAAATTAATGAAGTAAAGCATCTATAAAAACAGCTTTTTTTAAATCCCTTTTAGAACTCTAGGTTTGGAGTCTATAAAAAATCTAAATCCAATTCAATTCCAAAAATGTCAGGTTGGGTTAAGGTTAGAGTTGGGATTTTAATTTTTATGGGCCAGATAGATTATATATAATTTGGACATAATATATTTAGGGGTGGATTCAAGTCGAATACTTGGCTATTCAAGTTCAGCTCGCTGAAACTGTGTTAGGCTTGAGCTCAGCTCAGTTCAAAGCTCACAAGTTTGAGTTCGGTTTGGCTTGACTCGACTACAAGTCATGTTTTTTTTTTAAAAATAAAAAGTTATACATAGAAAAATACTTTTTATTTTACATACAAAAAATTAAGAATTATAAAAATTATTTATTATTATACATATAAAAATTGTTTTCATTTTACATACAAAAAAATAGGAACTACAAAAATTATTTACTATTATACATAAAAATAAAAATATTATTATATATAATAAAAATTATTTATTATATATATTTTATATATTTATATGTTTATCTATATGTATGCATTTATATAATAAAAAATATTTATTTATTATATTAGGTTCTTGAGCCTATATATCAGCTTGATTTTGACTCGAAGCTCAGTTTAAACTGAGCCAAGCCGAACTCAAATAGCCCATGAGAAGCTCGGCTCGTGGCCACCCTAGGTTCCAAGCATTAGGCCTTATTATTTTTCGGAATGGGCTCAAGAATTCTCAAATGATTAATGGGCAATTTTTTAAAATGTATACAAGGAAGGCATTACAATCTCACAGAGCCCAAGGTTCCAAGAAAAGGAGAAGCTGCCGAAAAAGACAATGTGGTTGTAACCAAAATGACGTCGATGAGGTTATTCCGAGTAACATTTGAAGACCAGGATGGAGGACTGATTGAGTGGAGGGATGGCGCCACCTAAACAACGAGGTAGTGCTAGTACTACTATCTACTACGGCTTACCCACCCATTCTCTGCTCAACTTAGTTCATGTTGAACTCGGTACCTCCGTCTGATGCCCTCTCACTTATGGCATTCAAATCTAAAGCCGATGTAGATAATAAGCTCCCATTTTTGGTCGAGAAGCACTCTCGGTATTGCTTTCTGGCAGGGCATGAAATGTGTAGATGGTAAAAGAGGTGCATCTCATCCTTGAAGGTTTTTTGGTCTTGCCAATGTCTTTTCTCCACATTGACTCGCCTTGACCAACTCAAAATCCAAATCCGAAGTTCCTATTGCCAATGCCATACATCTTTTGCGTTCCAGATGAAGAAACTACATAAGTGACTATGGAAGGGGAAGGCACCGGCATCTCTTTCATTAGGGATGGCGAAGTGGAAGATGTGTTTGTCCCTTTTGTCCAACCTGCTTTGGGTTTGGGTTCTTCGAGTTTCTCGCCTTCGAAGATTGTGATGCCAATTGCGAACCTATTGAGGGAGGACAATGACATTAATGAGGATGATGGATTGGTGAGCGAGGTGGAGGGCGATGGAGTTCTGGACATTGCTAAAGTTCCTCCTAGCGGGGAATTATAAGGGTTTTAAGTGGCGAGGGAGGAGAAGAAGATGAAGCTTCTTTGGAGAGGGCTCTACCCGTTCTAAAGGATTGACTTCAGGTTTATTCAATCGGGATTGGACAAGGATTGACTTTTGGAGTTCCTATTGCCACTGTCATACACCATTCGAGCTTTTTTCTCTTTGATTGCTTGTTCACTATTGCCAGTTTGCCACAGTCGGTCGAAAGTTGTAGAGGTAGCCATTACAGATAAAACCGACAAATATCCTTTCTAGACAGGATTTAATGGAAGGATAAAACTGACATTTTATCATTTCTGTCAAGATCTAACGATAATAACAATTGTTAAAAAATTTAAGGGTATTTTAAGACAATAGAATTTGTCAACTTCCTAAACCTTAGAAGCACTTTAAAAAATTTGCCCATAACTATATGCATACAATATGTATTTCTACCAAATTTCCAATTTGGCTCGGGCTTGGACTCTCATAAAGAGACAAAAGCCGACCCATAACAGGTCTATTTGAATTGGATTAAAATTGACCTCAACCCGCATCCCTAGTTTCGTGTATATATTGTGTTATATTTCTTAGCCACAATTTTTAGTAATGTTGGTCAATATGTATGGTTTTGTTTTTAAAAACAATAAACAATTGCCACACAGGGGTTGAGTGGTAACCAGTCAGGTGGTATTGAGGTGGTTCGTGGTTGTTTGATTGGTCAAAGTTTTTCCAACAGAATTACATCGATTTCTTTTCATTTTTAGTTCACCGTGAAATACTTTGATATTGCTTCAAGTTTTGCGGAGTTGGGTTCTCCAGTTTTATGCATCCTGAGATTTTCATAAAAAGGGTTATTGCAGACACAAATTCCATGTAGTTTCAAGTAAATTATATAATATTATAACATTGTGCTTCTATTAAATTTTCATTTCTTGCATCCCTTCATATTCATGTGTTGATTATGTTGTTTGCTTACATATCCTTTTTCTGGGCACCTTCATAGATAAAAATTTCCCACATGCATCAAACTTTCACATGTACTTCGTATTTCTATTAATCTTACTAATAAGAGTTGAAACTTACATCGAGTCACTGTATGATCAATGACTATTACAGTAGGGACTAACCATTTTTCTGATAAAAAAAAGGTACCATGGAGAGTCCAAGACTTAATTATTTTCAATAGTGAATACAAGCCCCAACAGTGAAAATTGCTGGTATAGAAGAAGACTTGGTATAAACAAGGATACATTCCAGAAAGGAGGTAAATAATAAGAAGGCAAAGTACTATAAGAGGCTCAAATACAGGGAACAATTATATATTTGTAGAACCCCATAAACATGATATATGTACCTTCAGTCTCCAAATAGGTATAGGGATTCTAAAATGAATGGTGATGTTGCTAAGGCCTAGCTCTGCGGACAAACATTTATGTCTGCAAAGCAACATCTGATCTTTGATCTCCATCTGCTGTTGCTTGGACCTGAGCTGCATACTGTAAGTTCCAAAGGACATCTTCAAAAGAGGGACGGCTTGACAATTCTGGGGATATGCATTTGTTTGTTATGGAGATAACAATTGATAATGATTCTTCTGAACAAGTGGCGCGGACAACTGGGTCCACCATTCTTTTACGACCATCCTGGCTGCCAAATGATGCCTGCAAAACAAGGAACACTCTGACAGGATAAACACTAGATCTAAATTCTTATAGCCTGGAGAATTACAAGAAAGGTAAAAAGCTAGTATATATCCAGTGTGGCAGCACCATTCTTTTTTTGGAACAAACAATGTGGAACTTCTCTTATATGCAGAGTATCTGATGGACAGTATACTATCTGGGTTCTGAGAACTATCATTTGTCTAGTCATTAATGTAAAGCATAAGCCATCAAATAAAAGCTCCCATGTTTTATTGACCAATTGGCTATTCTCCCTGAATGCCTCTCCTTTCTCCCTCGTAACTTATTAGAAGGTACTAGATCCATCGACTCTAGTTGAATAAAACCCCATCTAGTTGTCACTACTAATGGGGTTAATGCATTCAAAAAACATGTTCAACATTACATGTGTTCTGTTGCAGTTGGACCCTCTGTATTCCCTGCATGACAGTTGCCCCCTTTATCTCTTCCAATAAAGGGGTTGACCACAATGTATCCAAAATCCATGAAATGGGCTGACCGAACAATATCGATATCAATATGCAATGAAGGAAAAAAGAGCATTCAAATTAAAGTTTCATAATACCATTTCATTGAGTGAAAATGCTTCTTCTCTTCCAGATACTGAAGGTCCCACAAGTGCTTCTAGTAATATAAACCCAAAACTGTACACATCATCCTCTAACTTTGTCCCATGACTGAAAAAATGGGCAGCCCTAAAGTTAGGTATTGTCAAATAGTTATCATGTAATCAACCTTCCCTATAACATTTAGAACCCACAAAACAGAAAATGCAAGGATGTTTATCTTGTCAAAGTTGAGCATGCACATCCAACTGGATGATCACAGTAATCCAACTCTCTGAACAGTCAAAAAGACATGCCAAAAATTATACAAGTAAACATTAATCCATCATATTTCTGGTACTTGGAGATTCCATATACAAGGGAAGACATTATGTCGAATCATGTACGACTAAGAGTTCATATTTAGTCATTCTAGATTCCTTCAAATGGAATGCACGCAAGGAACCACTACTACTTCAGCACATGACATGTATTGTATGTAAACATTGTTATTTTTGAAATTTTTATCAGTCACATATGTTCTTTTGTTAATATTTGAACTATTATTATTATTATGGGTAAAACAAAAAATAATTCAGTTGGAATGTTCATTGGGGAGTGGGAGGAAGAAAGTGTTTACACTCTCATTTATTTCTTTTCAAGTTTCTAATATTTTCTCTTGTTTTATCAAGGGATTAATGTCTAAATTGCGATAAATATGTTCCCCATTTCTTGATTTTACAATGCAAAGCGTGTTTAACTGATTCATATATAACCGTCTTCTTAATGCCAAAATTAATTCTGGTCCAGGAAATAACTGAAAACAACAATATGAATGAATCCAAACCTAGAATCAGATATTTATTCTGAATGTCTCTCCTTTCCTTTTCTCTTCCTAAATTTCTTAGTTATTGTTTGTCTGGAGTTAACACAAAAACATTCATACTGTAATAACTATTATCCATTGTATCTTCATCAGTTTCAATACTCATCAATTCCTCATTTTTTTCCCAATAGAAATCATTGTCCTTATGGCACAGCAAATGATCCAACCAAAAACACAAGCAAATAATCCATTTAAAAATCTCTTTCTCTGCTTCTGAACCAAAATAACTAAAATTATGACATGATGATTTCTCATTTCATGAATAACAAATAACATCTCTTTAGGGTATCAATTCTTACCATTTCTGGCCTTCTCCCTTCGCCTGTAAAACGAAGAAGACTATGTCTTAGTAAAAGTTTTTCGCTGTTAAAAATTATGTTCAATGATTACCAATTCATCTACCATTAATTGCTCTCACCTCATGCTTGTCAATTTCTTCTGTGATAATGGACAAGCCATAGTCACTTAGCTTTGCAATTTGGTGCTCATCAAGCAAAATATTATTTGTTTTTAATCGGTTGTTAAAAAAACCAGGAATTATCCCCGTGTGTAGGAAATGCACTGCCTTTGCAATGCCAATTAGGACCGCCAATCTCTCAGACCATTTAAGAACTTTCCCTGGATCATCTTCTGCACAAATAGATATAGTTAGATTGAATCAAGTAGACCCACTACATAAAAGAATTAGGAGAAAGGGATGCTTAGTATCCTTAGGCTGAAAAGATTGTAGTCATAATTTAAAGTTTAATACCAGATATCTATATTTGTGGTTCACATAGACTACAAATATAGGATGTCAAGATGTCAAGATAAATGAGGTAAAGGTCAACTGATGTGGACGCCGGCAGCAGCAGCAGTAATTTAGTGTTCTCAGCAGCAGTAATTTAGTGTTCTCAGCAGCAGTAATTTAGTGTTCTCAGCAGCAGCAATTTAGTGTTCTCATCCTATCTTATCTATTCAGTATTCTTGCCTTATCTGCTTTCAGTAGTAGGGATTAGTAGGAATCTTATCTATTCAGTGTTCTTATCTTATCAGTTCAGTAGTATGGATTAGTAGGGAGTCTTATCTTATCTTATCAGTTCAGTAGGATAGATTAGTAGGGAGTCTTCTTAATTAGCAAGGAGTCTTCCTAAAAGTAGGACTCTTATCTCTTGTAATCTCCTATTTAAGGAGCTGAGAACATTGAATAAGATCATCGAAAATTTCAGTCAAGAAAGAGAGCAAAGGAGAGTTGGTGATCTCTTGAACAAATCACCTTTAGGGCGGCAAGATAGGTTCTTCAAGAAAAGGGAGGAACAAGGGAGAACAGGAGATTTTCCCCATGGACCGACCCGTGACGAGATCCTATTCTCGGGCCCATAACATCAACCTGATCAGATAATCATCTGGCTCTTAGACTAATTTTAGTTCCTCTCTCATTCGGTCATTCCAATATTAAATATAGGATGAGTAAACTTAAATAATTCAACTGGTTTGATATTTGACTAAAGAGAACCTTGCTGTAACATACAAAACGGAGGCTTCCTTGTACTTTTACACGATTAAATAGGTGGTGGTTACCATCTATTGGGAAGAGTTTTATTTTCCCCAAAGATTCTGCATTCAATGTCTGGTTGTAGAGTGACTGACCTGAGAGATGAGTGCAAAGACTTCCATTAGCCACATTCTCATAAATCAGAAAGACTCTGTTGACTGAGCCATCATCTTGTCCAGCACAATCAATGCAGTGTCCCAAAAGGCAAACCAAATGTGGGTGTCGAAGCTTTGCAATTAAATCCAACCGGAGTTTAAGATTCCGAATTGGGTATCTCTTAAACAATGTTAAACACCTAATAGCAACATTGGCTCCATTCTCTAATCTTCCTTTGTAGACCTGGAAAAGAAAATGTGATAAGTCAAAAGGGTTTTCTTGAGATAGATTTGAAAGTCTAACTAGTTAAATCAAACAACAATCACATTTATCATTGTCGCTGAGAAAAGAGAACCCTATAAGTCATCAATGATATTTTTTTCATGTGCAGTTTTTTTTTTTTTTGGCTTCTAGCATGTGTAGTTATTTCAAAAAGACCTTTTTTGTCATTTAATACATCTAAGAGAACGAATTGTGCACATGCAGTTATTCACAGATGAGCTTCTATAAAATTGACTTTGTTTTTAGGCAAGGAATTACTGATTGATACTCCATCAAGCAACTTATAACAAACAACAAACACAAGTACTATAACAGAAAAAGTACACTGGAAGCATGAGGGTTACATAAATGTAGTACCTTTCCTGTTGAACCTTCACCCAATAATGTTGAAAGATCAAAATTGTTGGTGGCTTCCTTTAATTCTTCTAAAGAGAAGACCCGATATACCGGTATACCTTGTGTGCCTAGCTTTGCCGTTTGAGAAACAAGTCCTGAAAAGCAAGAGAATAAAGGAGAAAAATAAAGAAAAAGAATTATGTTACTCCACCAGATTCAAAGAAACATTTTTACAAACTCATAATGGAAGTCTACTTTCAAATGTTGGAAATTGTGAATGAGATCATGCATCAATATCTGAGTTTTGGATGAAGAAAAGCAAGACTAGTGATTACTTGCGTTTGCAAGGAGATCAGGGGAGAATCCTGCTGGTGTGCTATCTGGGACTGCCTTTGGCAATAAGTGCTGCTCTGATATCCCTCTTGGGCAGTGTCTTCTACACAAAACGAAAAACCCAAATGCCAAAACTAACACAATAATTACAGGCCCTCCAATAATACCAACCAACACTCCCACATTTTGGCCCCCAGACCCTTTCCCCTTCACGTGGATGTCCTTACAATGTGACTCTGGATGCTGGTGTCGAAGATCAACAGCTAAGCAATTCCAACCAAATTCAACAACTCTCTTATCCGATGAAGAGCTCAAGCAAGAAGGTAAACTACCTGTCAATCTATTATTGGAAATATCAACAAACCCAAGCTTGCTACCGCAACTTAGGCTGGAAGGAAGTGAACCGCTCAGCATGTTGGATGCCAAATTCAGATAACTGATATTCAGCAATGCAAAAAGTTCTGCAGGTGGTGTTCCTTCCAGCAAATTAAATGACAGATCAAGATGTTGAAGCTGACGAAGTTCACCAAATTGTAGAGGAACCTTACTGGAGAAGGAGTTATTGCTTAGTAAAATTGTGACCAATCCTCTGGGCAACACAGGTATTTCGGAATCCAACCGGTTCTCCCGCAAATCCAACATGCGCAGATTCTCTAGGCCACCCATATCAGGCAATTTACCGGAAATATCATTATGAGACAAAGCAAGACTAGTGAGTGTCTTAATTCTGCAAATTGAATAAGGGAATTGACCCTTCAACTGGTTGCTTTTCAAGCTCAAAATCGACAGATTTGACAAGGAATCAAACCAAGCTGGAACAGTATCATTGAAAAAATTGTCATCCAATGTCAAAATTTGCAGCTTTACCATGGCAGAAATCTTTGGAGGAATCGAACCAAATAGAAAATTTGAACTCAAATCAAGAAGTTCAAGCGAATATAAGCGGTGGATTTTGTCCGGAAGTGGGCCCCAAATCCCTAGAGATACTAAGCAAAGAACTCTCAAATTGGTCAACCTGGACAGAGTTGTGACAAAAGAATCCATAGAAAAAGCCTCAGATAGAGTCTGATTAGCAACTGCAAATCCTTGGAAGTTACTAAAATTGGCCGGCCTATCATCCATGATCTTGAGCTCGGTGACAGAATTGTCTTGGCATACAATCGTCAACTGTGGAGAAGGCGGCAAGTAGCATAGGTCTCCGCTGTTGTTCCAAGCTTCCATTGCTTTTGGGTATTCCAAGCGTTTCCTAAGCTGCCGTAGAACTTCGATTTGGGAGGTTTGCAATTGATGAGTAGCAGGGATGAAGAAAAACAATGGAAGACATACCGTTAGAAACAAGGTATAAGGTGTCATTTGACCAAGGAAAAGTCCAGCAACAACGAAGTTCTGGTTTTGCTTAGCAGCCTTAGGAAGTAAGAATGAACCCAAAAAAACAAGGCGAGAGAACTAATAGCCTAGAAATAAAAACATGAATGATGTGGGAGCATCATGAAGACGGGAAATCTGGGTTCTGTGTCAGAAAGAATTATATTGCAAGTAATATCGATAAGATTCTTGGTCCACAGAATGGTTTTTAGCCGATGTGTTTTGTTTTTCGTGAATTCTGGGAGAAAGCTGAAGAAAGAAACACATGATAACAAACTGAAAATAGTCTTACTACTTCATACATTCGGAAGAGTGGTTGCCCGTTCCCAGTTCCCACCACTGGATCGTTAATCAGGCTGGGCAAGAACTACGAAGCAGGAGATGAAAGGCAGCAAAATACTTCAGTAATATCCCGAGAGCTTTCGTTCTCAAGAAAACATTGGGTGTCCATAAATTCAGAGGAGAAAAGAAGCAGAAGCTCTGTAGGAGAAGAAAAAAATGTAAGAGATGGCCGAAGACCCGCCTCGGATACCCAAAAGAGCGTGTTCACGGAAAAGTTGCTTATCGAACTAGTTCAGCAGAAACACCATGAAACAAAGACAGGGGACTGCAGTTTGCATACCAAAAACCAAACAAAAAATAAAACAAAAAAAGGAAGGGGGACAGAGGACATGAAAGAAGAAAGGACGCTGAGTTTGTGATCAGTAGTCCGTCTGTTAGAGACCAATCCGTGAAGAGCAGATGAAAATCTCAACAACAGAAAAAACGAACCTGTAGAGGAGATCTAAGCGGCGGTAACCTTTGAATTTGAGGAAGTGATATTTACAGCAAGCACATGGCGGCCTTCTGCATCGAAGACTGTGAGCTCCTTATTATTAACTTTGATGCAAGTAGCCAAGTAGGTTCATGTAATGTAGTAGAAGAACAACACAGACTCTGCTTCAGTGCTTCTACTCTCTCTCTCTCTCTCTCCCTCTCTCTCAAATCTCAATGTAGAATCTGTACTCGTAGTAGAAGGACCAGTGGCACTGTATGCAAAGAGGAAAACGAAAAATAGTCGGTCGTTAAACCTTTAATTGCCCTTACTTTTGAGTCTTAATTACGAAAATGCCTTACTGGTTTCTCTTATATTCAGTTACCGTCCCGAGGAGATGGCCAACATTCCCCTGGTTTCAGGGCTTTTATATCCCAATGGAAGAGGAAATATCCACCAATCCAGTCCATCTTCCCGTCCAATTGGCAAAAGCCCAATCCGATTGACGGTGAGAGATGGCCCATCCGAGTGTGGATCGGCAGACAATAATGGAGTCCAGTCCCTCTCAGCCTCTCAAGGCTTAAATTTGCTTTAATGGTGTGGGGCGGGGTTCCGCTGGGTCGTACGTTAACAGGTGAACAATAAATCAGGACCTTAGACTTGGTCGTAAATCGTAATGATTCGATGATGATGCGATTGTGGGGTCCTCTCTTACTCCCTCACTTTTGGTCAAAACTCAAAGCATGGCCCATTCAATGTGATTATGTGACAATTGGCAATTAAGAGAAGTAGGTGGAGGCACGTACATCTCCGACAGTCCGAATCGGCGTTTGTACAAAAAATTGAGTCTCGATATTCATTTATTTTCAGGAGGGCTTCTTAGGAATTTTGTTGCCATGTATCCTTTCGTGGGCTCCATTTGACAGCTTATTTCGACTTCTAAACCACGTTGTGGGTTGGCCCAATGGCCCTTTTGTCCAATGAGAACGATGTCCTCTAGCGATTTTTAGCTACTGTTGCTCGTTTATGAGTTTTTTTTTTTTCTTATTTCTTTATTTTTTTGGAAATTTTTACGTTGTTCTGAGTACAACGGTTTTGGAATTTGGACTCAGGAGTCAGGACTATACAACGGTGAGGAACTAACCTTTTGGCCGGAATAACTGATAGATGATCATCAGCTAAATACGCGGACAAAACAACCTTTGATTGGATGAATTGCTTCGATATTCAAATCATCACATGTATTTGCAGATCGGGAGGCGAATATCTTCGATCACTTGGAGGAAAAAAATGAAAAAACAACAAGCGAAGAGTATTGAACCGATTTGTATGATAGTACAATATATCTGGTATAAATAGAAAACAAAATTTTATGGAGGACCAGCTGTTCCAGTTTTTTAAGTGAAAGAATCATATAGAGAAGAGCTTCGTGTTTTATGGCTTAACACGATGAAGGAAGGCTCTGGGAAAATAATGCAATATTTTTGTCCACCAGTTGTGAAAAAATAAAATAAAATAAGAAACTTCAGGAAGGACTGGATGGTGACCAAATAAAATACTCAGAGATCAATGAGAACCAACTTGGATTTGGTTTGTCTTTTCTACTCTATAAGTCACAACTCCTTACTTCACCACGTATTTTCAAATGATCAATTGAGGCTAAAATATAAAAAACAAAAATAACTTCATTTTATTTTGTCTGTCCAGCGTGTCGGATTAGATTAGAACCGGGTTCTAGTAGACCAGGCCCTGATGCGATAATTAAATATACAGACCTCAAAGCTCACTTATAATAGAGACACAATACAGATCCAAACCCTATATAATTGAATGTGTTTGATTCATTGTGTACTGAAGCCTTCCCCGACAATGAAGCAACAAAGGACAAACTACAATACATGCCCTACCCATTAATACATAAATGTAAAAGCTCTAGGCTTCCAAAAGTAGGTGTCTGTGGTAATTGGGTAAAGAGGGGCTGATTGGCCGAACCATTTGACATGTCTATAGAGGAAAAACAATAAAATATGTGTGTGAATTATCTTTCTCTTCAAATAAATCACGAACCCAAATGTTGACAAGAGAGAATAGGCCATACGCAAGTGTGCCGGGCTGGCTTATTCGTTTGTCTCCATAGGCATAGATTTCAATATTGGCCCACAAATTACAAGCAGCGTGGCTATTTTTAGAGATGGCAACTGGGCGAGTTTGGGATGTTTTGTAAATTTTAGATTTTATTCATCTTCTTAAACCTCTCAATTTGTATTTTATCCAAAACTTGTAGTGGATTGAATTTTGAGAATCTAAATCCCCTCTCCCCTCCTCTTTTACATGAAAATGCAAAATCCTTTTCGGCCCTATTCTCTAGGGAAGAGCAATTTGGGTTTAGAATCCACATCTGATTTCATATGATTTTTTATCATATATAAGCAATAAATAAGTAAAATAGCACAAATATAAAACAAAAATTTCAATTATTTGATTAAGACATGTACAAAACACGTAAATTATCAATTATCATTTACATATTATTAAACTCAACACCTAGTACATAAAGTTTATATGTTTTCCAATAATAAGCGGGTTGGAGAGAGTCAGGTTTAACCTAATACCATATGCTACTTGTACCCGTATGGGTTGTAGAATCACAAAACTCATCCCTGCACCAAAACCTATCTTTCAAGCAAAAAAACTTACCCTATCGGGAATGGTAGGGGCAGGTACCCACTGGGTAGGGTATAAATTGTCATCCTTAGCTACTCCTCCGATAAATGCCTCTCTTAATCACATGATTTTTTCCACAAAAATATGGTCTGTACCAGGTGTTAGACAGTTTTGTATGCCCTTAGCTTTAATCAGAATGATGTACTTTATGAGTTTATTGTAAATGAATAAAAGTGCATATTTGATTCATGTTCCCTTAATATGTTTCTGTGTAATACCCTTAAACTGGACACTTATTGAGATTCGTGTTAGTTTAGAATGTTTACAGCCAGTGGGTCGGTCTGGGGGAGACCTATCCTGACAAGGCTGACACTGTGGTGCCACCAAGTCGGTTGGGGTGGCCKGTCTCAACTGCCAGGGTGAGACCCTAGGCACATACAGTGTAGGATTAATTGAATCTATGAACTGGCCCAGATTTCCAGTATTGCCCTGGACCTTGGAGATTGATGGGCAAAACTGAAAAGTTACACCCGACCCCTAGACTCGATTATGATACTGCACTAGGTGTCGGATTGGGCTGTCTTTGATGTACCAATCAGTGAGATCCTTAGCGGGGGTCAAGATCTGGGTATGTTGGGACAGTCCGAGAATTCATCTGAGTGGATGATCATAATGACAGGATCAGCCCCTTTGTCGGACAAAGGTAATTATCGGGGATGCACTCTCACTGATGGAAACCAAGACTGTCAGCAGCCGATTTCAACCGTTGATATTTGTTTTGCAAAGTATATTTTATGAGATATAAAAATATATATTATGGTTTCTAAAATGTTTGCAA